AGCAGGAATACTACTTCATTACCTGCAAAAGGCTTTTAACCACAGTTCTTTTCTTTAACTTCTGTTGCTATTTGCTGGGATGCAGCTAGTTAGAGGAATCAGGGATTCTAAGGATGCAATGACTATTGAGGGTGGAGCAGTGTTCTCTGAGCTCAGAGTGGTGTGTGGACATGAGGGTTTCTGCACATATCAGGGTGTTGGAAAATCAGTGGGGACAATTGGTCTAGCATATATTCATTAGTTTAGTCAAATGAGAAGGTGGAGTCAGGAAGTAAAATTATTGGTTGAGCAGTAGAACCTGGAAAAGCAATGACATTTTCACATGAAAGATAGTATTGGAATAGGAAAAAAAAGAGATTGTTTTTCTATTCTACATTACGTTTAAGTAGAAGAGAGTAAAATAACTTTTAGTGTTTGCCCTTTTTGTTTTGTTTTTCTACCAGAGCATGGATGCACCCACCAGTGAGAGAGAGAGAAATGAGCCATGGTCATGCCATAATTTCTTTACCTCCGTTTTGCCACTTTGTCGGAATTTGATACAAGCATATATGCCCAGCATGCGCTTGAAACCCCCTAGAACTGGGATTAGAACTATGATCTGCCTTGTAGGATCCAGCTCCCTTCACTGCTGTTGCCATGGGCTGGCCCTGTCTTTTTGATTTGAGTGTAGATTTTTCTCGTCAGAGACTAATCTGGTTGTCTTCACCCTGCCTACTAGACCCAAGAGAAGGAAAGTGTGCAGGGCATCCAGTTTCTTCTCTCCAACAGGCTTTAGAATGATATGTAATAATGCCCGTGATACTCATGGTAGAACCAGCAAAAATGAGCTCTTCGCAGTGTCTCGTTCCAGGAAAGCTGGGCGTTGGATCACTTCTGGGTTCCTCTGGTTGAGTTGTCTAAATTAAGTTAAAAGCAGAGTCGCAGTTACCAGGAGCACAAGGGTTGTTAGCATTTGCCAGGAATTAATGCTAGAAAAGTGTGATTGTTGTAGTGGTGGCTGTGTTTTAAGAGTGGTCCAAGGAAGTTGAGTCTGGGAGGTAAAGCCTAGGGTGAAGGGGATTGCTGAATGTTTAGGTAATGTCAAGATTGCATTTTATTGGCAAGGAAACAATGCACTGTATTCGCTTCTGAGAACAGTGGTTTAAGGCTTGATGATTGTGGGAACATTCTGTTCGTCTACACTTTGCTGGTTTGAGACTGTACTTCTGGTTGGAGCACTGCATTAAATTAGATGTTTATGAGTCACAGATGTGTAAGGTGCATCCTGGCTCTGAAAAGCTTTCTCCTACCAGTTAGCAGAACTCAAAATTATTTGGCCTATTTGTGATCTGCCCTACCAAAGTTTTGAGTTTGAAAGATAATGTAATCAGGAATGCATCCTGTTGAATGTGGCTTCGCCAATGTGCTATTGTCGGTGTGCAGGTGTGGAAGGGCGTTTCACCCTGGTCTCTGTTATGAAGACCTGGTCCTTATCAGTAGTTCTTCCTGCCGGCCCACAAGAAGTGATTTGGTGAGAATGCTTTCAAATAGCGAATGAATGGGATGTGGCACCTGCTACATCAAACAAAGGTAAACACAGGCAGAGGTCACTTTCCATCTTTTATAGAGATGACCTTTCTCAGCATCACCTGTGTGTCCTGCTGTGCATGTGAAGTTTTACATCAAGAGACATCTGTGTTCTGGGAATGTATTCCAAGAATGTGCTTTTAAGGTTGTTTGTGCCTCTATTCCCATGAACAGATATCAGTATTACCTGCAAGTCAAAAAAGACGTGCTCGAAGGGCGATTACGGTGTACACTGGAACAGGTGATTCGGTTGGCCGGCCTAGCTGTGCAAGGTAAGACAGTCATGCCCAGTGTGTGAAATTCGGTTTTCCATTGAACTATAGTGTTTGCCTCTCAGAGTGACAAGTCCGAATCACTTAAGTGATCCCTTAGTAACACTCCCTTTTCATTTCAAGATCTCACACATTAAAAATGCAAAGTTAGTGATTTTTTTTGGTGGCAGGATGGTGGGTTTCTCAGAGCTATTTGCAAACTGCTCATGCTTGCATGATTACAGTTTTATTTGAAGAAATAGCAGCCTTTATCCAACCTTTAATTAAAGCTACATTTCAGGGTTTGTGTAATATTTTCTCAGAATTATTCCTCTGTACAATGTGGTCATATTCAGTGGCTTGCTATGAGGAATGTGATACTATCACAACAGCTTTAAGTGTGATAGCCCAAAACATTATGGTGTCATTTAATACAGGTAAAGAGATCAATTAAAACCCCTGGTTTTAATATTAAAAACAAATGTGTATTGTAATAAATTTATACTTCCATCTGTCCTATTTAATCAGATGGCTTTTTTTTTTCTTTTTCTAAATTGTAGGTATGGGGCACTTTTCAGATATGTATATAATATATAAAAATACATTATTCTTATTGAATGGTGACTTAACCGCCTTTAGTCATGTGGAAAACAAGACAGTTAATATAATTTTTGAAAGGAAATTTGTTTCTCTTTATTATTTGTTTCAAAAACCAACTAGTGCTCAAGGAAAAACCTGGCAGCAACTAGGTGCTTGCTGTGTGAACTATTGTTTTAGAAGCTGTGAACTGAACTCCTCATCCCAAATGTTGAACTGAAAGTGAACTCTCTTGACTTCTGCATGTCAAAAGAGGCAGCCGTCCCTTGACCTCTTGCAATCTGGAGTCTTTGTACTTTAGCCATCTCTGTTACACATTCCTGTAGTTATTCCTATACAGTTGGCTCCTGTTGTTACTCTGTGGATGGCAGTCGGCAAAATGTGAGGTATCACACCTGTCACACTTTGACTGGACAGGAAAGAAACTGTGGCCACTTATGATAGAAAAGTCAGTGGTAACATCAATGATGCAATGGAGAAGTCACCCTTAATGGAAAGAAGAGAGAAAATCCAATGTGCCCGTCATCCTCAAATTGGGCCTCACTGGTAAATTAATCATGTGCCGAGGTTGTGGGTTGATAAACTGATACTTTCACAGCAACCTCTCCACATTGGTCTTGTGTGTGTGTGTGTGAGTGTGTGTGTGTGTGTGCACGTGCACACAAATGCACAATACATCTTCTTGTTCTCTATCTGTTATTACCTTAAAGATAGCTGATTAAGCTGATGCTTACTGGTATCCATCAAGTTAAAATCTCATGCAGGTTTGGTTTCTGTGAAAACAAAGGAGACAAGAAGCAAGACATTTGTATGCTTCTGGCGTAGGCTCCCTGTATTCACTTTGCATGTGCTCAGACATACCATTGTGAGATGAAAACAAGACAAAATGGAATTTTTGGCATCTTGCAACATGTGAAATTGTCTAGGAGGTGTAAAGATTTTCAAAGTTGCTTGCCAAGGGTGGTTTATGGTGGGAATTTCCAGCCGCAAATGTATGAAAAGATGTAGATGGGTTTGGCTCTTCAGTACTCCGAATTAACCTTGAGTTAAAAAAAATCCCCTTGGCAGATATTCTTAAGATAGGAGTTGATACATATTTCACAAACAGATAAATATAGGTTTCTTTAAACATTTTTAAATAGCTTTTAGGAATTGCTTTCAAATTTCCCCATTCTTTCTAAAAAAAAAAATTGCGTAGCGTTATGTTTATACTGATGTTTACTTCTAGGTAAAAGCGGTAACTATAACACACATTTGGCACTATGTTTATTTAATAATTGTGTAGAGGGATGGAGTGGGGAGAATAAATGCGGTAATAAGTTTACCTTATTTTATTTAGTTTTTATGTAATACATACTACTCCTTCCTTCTCTTCTCAGCTGATTTTGGAGACTATAATCAGTTTGATTCTCAAGATTTCCTCAGAGAGTATGTCCTGTTTCCCATGGTAAGTGTAGTTTCCTTTTTCTTAAATAATATTCTGCCTTCTTTGGATGTTTACTTCTTCCCTTTGGAAACCTCATGGCAGTTGGCCATGAGGAGATCCAGTGCCTTAACCACTGTGCCACCTGCTGGCCTGCACAGTGCTATTCTTAATAACCAAGATCTGGGAACAACCTAGGTATCTATCAGTGGATGAATGGGTAAAAAATAAATAAATTAAATAAATAAACAAATAAGTAGTGTGTGTGTGTATATATATATATATATATATACACACATACACACACACACACATAATGGAATATTCGGCCTTTAAAAAGAATGAATTCTGTCATTTGTGACAACTTGGGTGAATCTCGTGGACATTATGTTAAATGAAATGTGCCATGCACAAAGTGACAAATATCACACAGTCTCATTTATACATAGAGTCTAAAAATTCAAACTCACAGAAACAGAGAGTAAAATGATGGTTATCAGAGTTAGGGAAAAGGGAGAAATTTGTCATGTACAAAAATTCAGTTGGGGAACCAGCAGATGGTGTAGTGGCTATGTTGCTGGACTCTCAGATGAGCAACTGCAGTTAGAGTCCTGGACCCAGTGGCTTGAAACCCATGCCGGGTGCATGTGTGTGCATGCCCAAAAACCCAGAGGAGAAGAGATTGCAGCATGGCTATCCCCTTGAGGGGGTGATTTCTCGTCTTCTTTCTCTGTCTCTCTAGCAGGCACACATGCCCTATAGTAAAAATCTCCTTAAAAAAAAAAAAAAAACCCAGTTGGATAGGTAAAGGTTTTGGTGATACATTATATAGCGAGGTGACTATAGTTAATTATAATGTATATTTCTTTTTATTTAAAGGGGGTATTTCTTCTTTTTTAATAATTTTATTTATTCATTTACTTATTTTAATTTGACCAGAGAGACACAGAGAGAGAGAAAAAGGGGGAGAGGGAAAGTGAGAAAGCAAGCCACCAGATTTAGGACTCCAACCATGGTCAACCATGTGGGAGTGTCCAGCACCTTAACCACCACGCCATCTGCTGGTCCCCTATAATGTATATTTCAAAATCACTAAAATAATGGATTTCAAATGTTCTCATCCAAAGAACTGATACGTATATGAGGTAAAGGATGTGTTAATTAGCCTGAATTGCATATTCAGCAATGTGTGTGTATGATATCTGTACAATCAAAACATCACGTCATACAACATAATTATTGCCAATAAAATTTTTTAAATTTATTTTTCAGTTTACTATAGAGTTCCTGCACTCCCTGGAGAGAGACAAAATAGAGAGAAAGTGACTTGAACCGCGCAGTCAGCCATGTGGGATCCAGCAGCCTTAACCTCTGTGCCACCTGCTGACCCTAATAAAAACAAAATTTTAAAAACACTTCCCTCCCCATTCACTCCCTATCTTTTATCACACTGGCTCCGATTCTTTCAAAAGCTGCTGAGCACCTCAGAATCTTCATACTGGGGTTTCCTCAACTTCGAAGGTTCTACCTCACAGTTTTATGTCATCTAGGTCTTGATTCAAATAACATCTCTTCAGAGAGGCCTTGACTACCTATGTGATATACCGTAACTATCAACCCCTTCCTGTTAAGTCACTTTTTGGGTCTTCTCTTTAGAGCTCCTTTGGTATCTGAAATTGTTCCTGTCTGTCTGTCAGTCTGACTGATTTTTATTATCAACTAGAGTGTCAGCTCTGTGGTCCTTAAACAGGAACCCTATCTAGACTGCCCACTGTTGTCTGGTACATTGCTGGTTCTCACAGAAGTTCATGGGATAAATCAGTGAAGTAAAATACCCATTCTTTGGTTAAATTAGAGGTAAGGCTAAGTTTTAACCCCTGGAGAATTTTTGTTTGTTTGCTTGGTAGCTTTGCGGTAAATAAGAATTTTAATGAGGAAGGATTAAAACATTTCAGAAGCCATTTTAGGGAAGAGCTACAGCCAACCTGGCATTCTGGCGCTGATTTTAAAAAAGTTTGATTTACCACTTTAAAAAAAAAAAAATCAATTGTTTTGCCCAAAGCACCAATCTAGGTTATGAATACCCTAGGGATACAATTATGTAATTATAAATGTAAAATTGTTCTCAAGGAAACTGGTTGGGTAAATAGGAAGTTCACAAAATCAGAATGCAAAGCCAAGTGTAATGAAGTATAATCAGGAGTTTGTGTAGGGGAGAGGTCACATGTGCTTGGGAGATCAGGGAAGGCTTGAAAACTAATGGATATGAGTTGTATCTAAAAGGATGGGGTGGATTATAGCAGGTCTGGAGAGGTAGGGAGCCAGGAATGACCTAAGCAGAGGAGGAAAGGAGAGGTGGCTTGGGTATTTGGGAAGCAGTCCACAGACCAATAAGACTGTGTAGCTCAGACATGCTGGAGAGGGATAGTGGAGGAAGATATTGAGAAATTCTGAGGAGTTACTACTTCTAGGTTTTGCAAATCCCCCATGCTTTGCGAACTGCAAGATGAGGACAGTGATACCAGTTGTAGGAGGAGGTCATCTAGGAATCTGTTGGGATGGTCTGGGTAAGAGAGATATAATAGTTTAGGGGAAGTAATCAAGGTACATGGGCTGTTTGGAAGTGAGAAGAATTTTCCTTTATCAGCCTGATCTACTTTCTGGGTATGGAACATGCAAGAGACAAGGAGTGAAAATCCACAGAGAAGTCAGCAGAAGAATACAGAAATCTAATTTGAACAAGTGTCTAGAAACTGAAGAGCAACAGTGGGCTTTTAGTCAACCAAGGATCTCTTGCGGGGTTACTAACAACCTCAGCAAAGGGGAAAAATAAGAATGATCTGTGAAGGATGACAAAAGTTCCTGTCCAGAGGAGAAGGCACAATGCAGTGATAGCCTACAGACTCAGAAAAAGATGCCAATTCCTCCATTACCCGCTAAACTGCCACCAGTCAGCTGGCTTCACCAAGATATTTTTCATGCTTAGTGCCAACAGTTATAGATCAGCTCCAAAGACCAGAAATGAGATGCTTATAGGAAACTGTGTGCCTATGCTTATCTAAATCAGAAGGATATTCCTACCACAGCAAAAGCGGCCAAGATCGAGATATCATTACAAAGAAATTTAAAGTGGGTAAAGTGGAAGGCTCTGCAGGAAGTCCTGAGGAAAGGATATGTTCTGAAAGGACTAATCCTCTGGAAGTGGCTCCTCTACCTGGACAGACGTTGCCCAACTCTGAAGAGTCTGCAGTTCTCCTTGAGGGAGTTAATACAGTTGAGGTGACAACCTCTGCCAAAGAGGCCGTGCTCCTGGGGCAGTTGCATCCATGACTGGGAAGATTGAGGCAGTGGAATCAGAGGCTATAGAATCCCTCAAGAGCCTATGGTGTCAGGTAGTATGCGGTCCATGGGAGAAGTCTTCCTACAAACACAGGCTGTTGAATTCACCTGTAGTTTCATGCTGGACAAGCCTGGGTTCCTGAGAAGCAAAACGAGAGAGAGAGTGCATTCTTCCTACTTCCAGCCTGCAATTGCCCACCCCTGTACCTGGAGGGACAATGTGTTTTACCCAAAATGTGTTCAAAGGAACAAGGTATTAATGAAGAGTCTTCGGTGGGATTCGAATACCAGGAAAAGGTTCTATCTATGGTTGTAATTAATATTAGAAAAGTTGCACAGATGACTCTACAGTGCTGCAGACAGCTGAACTCCAGGCCTCCACACCCGCCAAGCTTCCTGCTCACAGGCCACAGATGCATATGTTACCCTTGGGCCCCTGAAGTACCTGCTGCTTCACAGGTCGGGATACAGAGAGTCTTATGTTTGAACATGGAAAAGACTTTTATAGAGGACCATACATTGTAGTCACCAAGAAGAAGAAATTGTTCCCACTAACAAATGTCTACCTTTCTGGAATAGAACGGACTTCAATAGCTCTTCGGAGTGGGGACGTCCTTCGCAGTGCACTGTGGGGGAATTAGGACAACAAAGTCATCTGCTTCTGTGTTGGATCTTCCTCCTCAGGAATACTGATGACTTAGTAGATGTCCCATTCTGATTGTAAATTTAATAAATGTGTAAATATTTTAAGCCAAAAAAAGAGAGATAATTTAGGTATTATCAGTGAGTTAAGAAAGCAGACCAAGAGTTATTTTGGAAGTGAATAGGCAGAACTTGGCATCATATCAGTTGTGGCATATGGGGAAAAATAGAGCATCTGGTGACAGAGGCTTTAAGTTTTTAGAGACCAGGATAAGTAAGGCTGGAGTTATTATCCATATTAGTGCTCAAGATGAATTTCAATTGGTTAAGAGCTTACCTTGTCCTTAAAGATTAGGGAAATACTGTAAATCTCCAACTTTTCATGAATAACTATCCTTATTCCTCTTCCCTTCAAGAAAACAACAGTATTATCTGCTCTGCCTGCTGTTTTTATGCCTTATTAATTCTACCCATTAAGTCAACCCCTGTTCAGAGATTAGCGTATTACTTGGCAGAGAAGCTCTTCATAGGACTTAGTGTCAGTAGGCTTGAATCAATATCTCTCATATCTCAGAAGCTCACCTGAAAAGTTCAGATGTCTTCCATTGTGCTTGGTTGGAGGAAAGTGAAGCTTAAACCTTAGGATATTAGAGAATGCACATTGTGTGTGTGTGTGAGAGAGAGAGAGAGGGAGGGAGGGAGGGAGGGAGGGAAGGAATAGTTGATAATAGAGGGCTGTTAATTTTCCAATTTTTTTAACCTTATTTTTAATTCTCAAGTAAGTTCAGGAAAAGATTAGGTTTGGCTACTATTAAGAGTTTTCAAAGATTATTACTAGCGTGATATTTAGGAGGTTTAGGTGGTAAAATGCTTTGACAGGTTAAAATACTATAAAGTAGTAAAGGAATTACTGTTTCAGGATGAGACTGGGGACCCCCTGGACTCTAAGTAGATCAGATACTTAAACAGCATGGATTTCATTAATCTCCCTATTGGATAGACAAGTACTGGCATTAATATTTTTGGATCTAAAATTGCTGTCTTGAGGGTGGTAGCAGCCAGCCTTGTGTGACTATTTACATTCAAATTATTTTCATTAAAGTTAGGTAAGAATTCACTTCCTGAGTTATTAAAGTTAGGTAAAAATTCACTTCCCGAGTTGCATGGACTACCTTGGAATGCTCAGCGGCTATGTCTATCTAGTGGCTGCTGTGTTGGGAAGCTCAGACAGGGACATTTCCATCACCCTAACAGTGCCTGTTGGACAGCACTGAAGAGGACCCGGCAGAAGCTGACGGATGTCAGTGTGTGTCAGAGTTGAGCATATTCCTAGGCTTTGCCAGCAGCCATTCACCTTCATCTATCCTACCCTACCCACTTCACCACTTTGTGTCCTAGTGCATGGTGGCCTGTGATCAGAAGGTGACTGCAGTTGCTGAGCCGTGTTTTGCTTTCTCCTGGCCTATGATGGCCTTGGGCAAGTTATTCATCCTTTCTAAACCTCTAGTTTTTCATCCGAAATGAGGATAACAAGCCTCATCCCATTGTGAGCATTAAAGGAGATAATGCATATGAAGTACCTAACTTGGCATATAGTCAAGTGTCAGTAGCTATTTATTTATTTGCATTATTATTATTAGCTGTATTATCTTGTCTCTGTGTTATACAGACATAAGGATGTTGAGGAGTGTGCTTTCCAGGTAACATCACTGTTTCCATTCTGAAATGTACGCAGTTAGGACAGGGAGGTAGTGCAAATGATCAATAACCTGCTTCGCCTGATCAGAAACCCTTATTTGAAAATACAAAACTTATACATTGCAGTAAACATTTTTTGACCACTTACTGTATATTAAGAATTTAGAAGCTGTTTTTGTGTAAAAGCCCTTTGTGAATAAAGAGGAATTGCTGTCCTTGGGGTGCCTGTATTCTACTAGAACGGATAAGATTATGTCCATAATCATGTAAGAAGAGCAACTATATGAGACAAACATGCAATGCCGGAAGTATGTCCAGGAGAGGGCAGGCTTACATCCAGTTGAAGGGGATTAGAAAACCCTGTGGAGGGACATGGTGACTGAGACAGACCTGAAGGGTGATGTGACATTTCACACTGTCTGATGGGACTAGTTGGCTCTTGCTGGAAGGAGGCCAAGAGCATGAATGGAGATATAAAAGCAGTTTGTGTTAAGAAGAGGGGTTTGCCCAAGGCCTGGAACCCTTGAGGGAGAGCTGGAAGGGAAGGCTGGGTTGCATTGAAGGGTGGTCTGAATGCCAGGCCCAGGTGTTGACCTAATTGGGTAGGCAGTGGGGAGCCATGGAAGGTTGTAAACTTTCTGCTTGGTTCCACTAGCTCTTTCAAAGAGAAGAATGCATTCCTTTGGTGGGGGAGGGATGGTAGGGATGAATGGCCCTGTTTGATCTTATAAAGTAACTGAATTTGTCAAATGGCATTTCTTCAACAGAGAAAAGAACAAAGTTAAGTACACAGGGCGCTCCCCAGGTGTGCGGCTGTGTACAGGCATGCATGCTGCCATTTTTCATTTGCACAGAGCCACTCTGGCGTGTCTCTGTGGCAGGGCACATACCTCAGGGAGGCCCAGACGCAGATGGAGGTGGTGGAGTTGAGTACAATAGCAGAGGGTACCTCTGGGCTTTTTCTTTTCTAAAAAGTAGGAAGCAGAGGTTTAATGGAGCCTTTTTTGATCTTTACCTTTATTTTATTCTGTTGCCACATGCCTTTCGTTAGCTTTTCAAAATTAGTATCAGGTTATTACTGGCATTCAATACCGTGGCGCACATAGCTAAGTGTCCACGCCACATGACATTTTTGTTCTTTCACAACATAAAGCTGAAAATGTTGAGCTTATTTCCTCTCATGGTCTTGAGTCATTTCAGTGGATGGCTAAACAAGAAATGACAAATTAATCAGTTAGCAGGTGAGAAATAAGAGCAGCCAGGAATTCTCTCCATCTTCTCTGAGGTCTGCCAGAGCTATTGAATGCTCAGATTCTGCAGAGTTATAGAATTTCCAGTATATAGTTACAGTTTCATTTTTCTAGTTTAAAAAAAAAATGCCGATTTTTCACTTTTTTTTAATGATTTGAGGTGCAGTGTTCTTTATAGGTTTGAAGTGTACCTTTTTGGGATAGTGATTCATCTATGAAAAGACATGAAGTTAGAGATATCTGTAGAAATGGATGGAATCAAGGGAATGAGGCCCTTCATCTGATATCTGCCAGAGCACAGCCCTCACCCCACAACCCCGTAGAATGAGCTTCATCAGGACATAGCTCAGAGTCCCTTCTGACATCCTGCTGGAGCTCAGAAGAAGATGGTGCACATCTGTGTCCTTTTTGTGCTTACTAGCTGGGGTCTATGGAACGTGCTTCGTGGAATTGGTAAAGGCAGCTGGCCTAGTGGCTTGAGCTTTTCAGGTCCTACCAGGCAACCACAGGAGTGAGACAAGCTCTAGAATCATTGCATCTGCTAACTTCTAGGAACTGAGTGTTTTGGTGCCATCTTAGATGGATTGCTCCAGTTTCCACCTCTCCATTACTAACCAGTGCCTTGCCAGTAGCTGTTTCAAACATCCTGGTTTCTGAGACATACATCCTCCCACTGTGGTGTCACTGAAGAGGAGTTAGGAAGACCCATGTGTGTCATTGGCTCTTTGAGTTCATGGGATCTAGCATACTACCAGTGCTGGGGGCCTGGAGTTCATTTGGTTGTGACATTAACAAGTTGGCTCTATGGCTGTCTTCCAGTGCTCTCTTGAGATACTTCAGCTGTGGTAGTGCCCTCTGCTCCTGTGACCACCAAGCAGCACCACAGTGAGCCCACTCTGCCTTTGTGTAGTTGTAAATTAGTTTGCTGATGTTGTGGAGATGCACAAAGGCCTGATACAGCTTCTTCCTAGGGTCAACTTTTAAAGGGATAATTACCTGAAACTCATTGGCCTATATCATGATCATTAAAAATAGAAAAGTAGATCCAGCCTTGGTGTACAGATAGGGCGGCTGAACTGCTATGCTGGAGGCCACATGGGTTCGAATTCCTGGTTGACCTAGAATATGCTTAGTGCCTAGCATTCAAGATCCTGAGGAGCTGGAGGGTTAGGGGAACAGGCTCACAGTGTGAGGAGACCCTGGCAAGAGTGCTCATTTCTCTTTCTCCTCCTCCTTGCCTCCTTCCCTCCGTTCTCTCTCCCTCTTTCTCGTTGTCTTCTCTTTCC